ACACACACACACACACACACACACACACACACACACACACACACACACACACACACACACACACACACACACACACACACACACACATATATATATATTATATATATATACCTATACGTATCAGCCTACCGAAGACAGCATTCGCCGCTCCACGGGAGGTGCGAACCACCTATGGTGGGAAGCCGATGCGAGATAAGCAGAACAGTTGATGCCGGAGCAGCTGACGGATTTCTTCCCCCTGAGAGGCATACGCAGCCCCCCGGCTTTAGGAATAAGCTATACAAGCTACAGCTTGAAAAGGCCTATCAAAATCTCATATTGAATAATAAAGGGCATATTTTTAAAGTTCTAAAGGAGCAACCGTTCCCCCACCCCCACACGGATTTGTAATGCATGTTGACGGCATTCTCGCCAGGTTCAGTTGTAACACAGCCGTATTCTCTTGCCAAACGGGGACTCTACAGCTTTCCATAGCTTTCTACAACTTTCTACAGCTTTCCTCATCATAATATTATGTCTAAATCCGGCCCGGGCGCACATCCACCACGGCACGCATGGTGATCGCGCTCGACGAAGTTATAAGACGAGGGGGATACCATGCATCTTCAACGGACACACGTACCGCTGCTCGCCTTTTACAGTACTAGGCTACTAGCCACAAGTTACATTCGCGCGTCTCACTATACGTGGTGACACGTCCTACGACGTGAAACACTCCAAGAGCCTACTGAGAGCCTACTCGCAGCCGCGTAACGAGCAGAGTGTGAGAGCCTACTCGCGATAATAGGACGCTGTGATTACAGCTAGGTCAGCATGCAGATATCTTGTCTGCTATATTACTTTCAGTAGATTGTACTAACATTTACATTTCATCATATCAATTTAAATAACACGCAGACATGTAGACGCTCAATCAGATCCCGAGTAAAAGCCAACCTATGACGTTGTGAACCGGGGTGAAATATTTAATGCGGTGACGCCATGCCATGGTCTGCAGGGTAGGACATATATATATACCCTATACTAGTACGTACGCGAAGTGCGTACATAAGTAGACGTATGTCCGTGACCTAGTTGTCAACTGGTTCTAGCCAGATCAGCGTCGTCAGGTCAACAATTATCAAATTCCCAGTGCAAGTACGGTCAGAGTTGGTGACACATATTTGTCATGCTTCCGGAGACAAAAAAATGTTTGTTACCAATGTACTGGTAAACTTACCAAATATTGGCTAACGCTCCATTAGACGCAGCGAAGGCGAGCGAAACGAAGCGAACATGCCTATGGTCTCTATTTCGCTTGCTCGAGCAGCGAAGGCGAGCGAAACGAAGCGAACACGTCCACGCTCTGCATTTCACTTATAACATTTGCCGGTTACATAACGTGTGGCAACAATACATAAACATAAACATATGTAAACATTATTATGGTTTACTCGACCAGCTAGCGAAGGCGAGCGAAACGAAGCGAACATGCCCCCGCTCTGTATTTCGCTCTTTGCGCGCGACGTTGATAGCTCTTTGATATCGTTACATCTAATCCCCCCTTGATATCTACTTTATATGTAGCCCCCCCCCTTAATAACTAGTTTATATCACGACATTAATGACATTAAAGTTGGGAACGCTCCTAATGGAGCATTACCCCAAATATTACCAACTTTATACATTGATGTCTTGCTGGATGGTTGGTTGCTTTAATTACTATCTACCTCGCACACTAACTGTGTAGATCCAACTCTACAATAATCAATCAAGAGCTACTAATACATGTGTTATTAAATCTTGATAATATCCCGATCTGCAGATCTGGGCATGCGCAGCGCAAATTTCACTGTCCGTTACACTATCTTTCCTAAAAGTTGTTTAAAAGTTCCGTTAAATTGTCTGTTGGTCGAGATCTGGGTTCGCGAAGGCGATATCTGCCGAAGAGAACCGCGCGGCGTAATTTGATCAAACTATATACTTTTAAAATAGAGAGGGGGATAGGCAAGGGCAATTCTATATGAAAATATACTGTAATTATTTTATGATATCATATCAAGAGCGTATAAAGAATATTACCTTCTTTATACGCTCTTGATCATGTTTATCATGATGGCTCAGTTTATAAATTACAATATGCCAAAGTAGGGTACCCGCTAAACATTTATTCTGGATATGGGTTCTAATACTTTTTCCGTTTTAAAAATCGCGTGCATTGGGATGAGACATTAGGGTGGACATTTCTCGCAGCACACTACTCTGTCTCATGAGTATTCGCTCTTTATTTAAAAGTAGAAGTTTTGCAAGAATAGCATTCACAGCCTTAAGTAGATTGAAATAGCGGTGACGGTAATGCGCGGGCGTTCTGCACCCCACCGGTTCCTTCCTACCTTGATTTATCCATCCACGAACGGGTAAGCTATAGTGTGGTAAAGCTTATTGGTGTTGGCAGTTGGCTCCGCCACGGCCGCTTGTAGTAGAACGAAGGGGCACACGCGTATAACTTCGCGCGTGTCTATTATCCGTCGAAACAAACTCGTATTTTTTCCGTTGCGATAGTCGTAGTAACCGAAAACATTTAGGCCCTACTAGGCTCAAGCTAGAGCCGATCTATCGGTCCGTCTGTATCGCAATATCTCAATAGTTCTAGAAGAAATTTCCAGCTAAAACACTAGATGCTATTTTAATATTTGGAATAAGGAAAAAAATTCGGATCCCCTTGTTTTAGATACTCGCAGTGTGAGACTTGTCCTATAGCTACCGTTAGTGACCTCGGTTCCTTGAGTAATCTTTGGTGCCAGCCCTGCATTCTAATAGCTGAATCTCTCAACTCAGCTAAAATCGCATCCACTGCATTTGCAGCATGTTTATGTACTTTTTTCATGTTTATATCTAGATGCGAAATCGAAAACAATAAACAATTAATGTTGTTTTTAGAAATAATACACATAAAGATGGCTTTATTGAAATGATGTTATTTACAATCTACCTAATAGTTCATTTCTATAATATAGGTTAAATACAATTTGAGATTCTTTCATATATAATTTACTTATTACAGACCTAAAGGAATAAACAGAATAGTTAGAATATAAGTAACTAATAGTTACCGTAACTATTCATTTACACAACAAGAAATAATCACCGACTGGGTGCTGTGGCAACACCGGGCTGTAAACAAAACAACACGTTTGTACAAACCTAGAATATATATATATATATATATATATATATAGGTGAGAGCAATCGTTGTTATATAGGAACAAGTCTACGAGCAACAGTAAAACTGTGTAAGTGGAGTAATAGGATCCATTGCTTTAGACTATATAGCCACTAACTACCTCCTATAGACGTATAGATAATATAAATATCTATCAACAGCAGCACATCTTTAATAAAATCTACTTTATGCTATGCACACTACTTCCATTCCACAGAAAAAGACAATAAGCACTTTTATAATTATGCCATTATCATGCTAATTATGGGGCAAACTGGACGATTCGGCCAATACTGTAATAGCCGTAATAGCGTATTATTTTACAGCGTTACGCATGCGTCGCCCAATCCTTACATACACTTAAGGAGACATGAAATATCAGGGAACGGTTCGGCCTCCTGTCCATATTCAAAATGCATAAGGTGTTGGCTGGTCCATGCATGGGAACACACAAGCATGGGGACAGCACAATCTCCCAATAAGGACAATCTCTGTGGCGGAACGTGCGCGTACGTGCGAATCACTCTGCGTGCTTGTGTAACAACCAGTCATGTTACTCATCACCATCTATCCTCGAACGTGACATCTAACTATCATTGTCACAAGGTTTTAAATGTCACTGATGTTCATCTGCGGCGCTCACAACAGTTCATAAGGCTTTAATATGGAAGAAATTTTACGATTTCATTTGATCGCGTAACTCTGATAACATCGTTTATACAACTAGAAAGGGACTTAATACTTGTCGCCAACTACATGTATCCCCCGTGTTCTCCCCAAGATGTGTAAGTATACGAAGTTTAGTCGCGCTAGGTCAATTAGGGGCCGAGTTATAGAGCAGAAGGGAAATATGATGAAGGTCAAGATCAAGGTCAAATAAAAGCCGCAGTGACCTGGTTTTGGTATGCGACACACATTCTCCCCATGATGTGTAAGTATACCAAGTTTGGTAGCGCTAGGTCAATTAGGGGCCGAGTTAAAGAGCGGAAGGGAAATATGATCAAGGTCAAGGTAAACGTCAAATAAAGGTCGCAGTGACCTGGTTTTGGTACTCTGCACACCTTCTCCCCATGATGTGCAAGTTTGGTCACGCTAGATCAATTAGGGTCGAGTTATAGAGCGGAAGGGAAATTCTCTGCGGCGGACCAAGCGGCAGCGGCGGCGGCGGCGGATGGGATGACATGAAACCATAGTATCCCCGCCGACTTCGTCGCGGGGGATACAATTAACACCCTATAATCTCACATTTAAATTACACGGAATTTAAGTAGAAGGCCTATATCGACGTAAAGGTTGGAGATAAGAGATATATTTTGACAACATAGCTGGCGTTTACAGGGGATTCACTGAAATCACAATTTACAAGAAATATTTCAGTTGTTTGGGCCAGATCCTGTAAATTCACTGCGACGTTGCATTAGCACGTAGAACACAGAAACTGACAATTTAAAACGGATGTTCCTCCCTTTTCTCTCAAACACATACACATACGCACACACACACACACACACACACACGCACGCACGCACGCGGGCACGCACACATACTATCAAGAGTGCATAATAGAGAGTGCATCTCTATTATGCACTCTTGATACTATATATACATCTCACTTTCTTTTCGCTCTCTCTCTCTCTCTCTCTCTCTCTCTCTCTCTCTCTCTCTCTCTGTTTCCCTCTCGCCATCTTTACTATTATTTATTGCAGTGCACACCTTACTTATATCAAAGATCATGTACAATTGTACATGTACATGATCGTTGTACATGATCTTTGCTTGTATGTGATAACAAAGACTTGTTATAACCCAGTTGTGCTCACACCCTTTTCAGAATGATCAAAAATAGATAAGAGATCATAAATATTTTCTTACCTATTTTCAATATTACACATGCAACTATTTCGCGCTCGTATACAAGTATGACGCATTATGACGCATAATAACGTATATGGTGCATAATATTATGGCACCGAATTTCTAGTAAATTGCTCCATCACAATAATTCAGAAAAAAAATTCACATTAAATATTTTTCGGAAGAACAAAACATCAGTGAACAGTTAAATAAAGATACGTTGTCTAATTACAAAAGTGTTACCTAACTGCTAGTTCAGTGTACTTTACTATACACTAATTCTGGAAATGGTTAAACAATAAAAATATAATAAATTATTTAAATAATGGTATGTTTGAGATGATGCGTTTGGATCTGCACACTGAAAATGTCCCAATTTTCGTTAGAGGACTATAAACGCAAATTTCCTAAATAAAGATGTACACTAAATAAATTAAAAGTATTCATATACGAGTGTGCCATGTGCATGAATGGTTAATATCTCCCAGAGCCCCAAAATTTTCGACATTCCAATTCCTTAGCACAAACACGGAATTTCCTTTGTACAGAACTACTTGGTCAATATTGGTACATTTCATTATGATAAAGATATATTTTTTTTTTTATAGAGATCAAAGTATAGGAGAGTTAAAGAATGGAAAAGGCTTAGATTATTTCATTCATTCTGATGAATGAGAATCATGAGATTCATTCTCACCTCAAGCAAAGGTCCTTCTAAAGCTACCCACCTTTAGTTGTCTAAAAATGCTTGGCTGAATCTAAACAGAGGTAGAAATTTACATTTTTATGAAAACTACCATTATATATATATATATATAGTGGACATCATGTTTATCGCAGTTACTAGTAGAACTTTTTGTTGTTTGTTGAGACATCTATCGAAATTGCAAACTTTATATATACAAGCATAGATATCAATGAACGTTTTTAAATGTGCTCTAAACCCCAGTCCGATGTTAAATAGCACTGATTCATATAGATATTAGAATCTAATATTACTTTACATCCCTTCCAGATGTTTATGTACATATTTATAGCGAAAACAAAATCATGAGAATTTATCCAATTACAACAAACACCGTTTGCTAAATGATCTCCCCTTCCTCTCCCCCTCCCTTGCTCAAGCTATCTTCTTGCAACACATGCCACTACTTCCCTTTTTCATTTTCTTACAACATCTTAGTCTGCTAACAGCTGTGTGCTGTAACTAGGTGTTGGTAAAGTTCGTTTGTAAAGTGTTGTAAACTAGGTAGATTGCAGGCAAGCCTACCTTATACATAGCGCACAACTTACACAGACAAAACACCGTTGAAGCTTACATCACAGAAACTTTAGCATAATAGAATTCATGCAATTAGGACTATGTTAACTATATCTTAAGGTAAGGATCTAGTCGAGATAAAACGAGAATACTGGCCTTATTTCTTAACGAAATATAGGATATTAGATTACTCTCATCCTACCTTGTCCAAGTTACATTTACCGTAAGCATGTTCATGAAAGAGAAAGGGTATGGCTCTATCGTGAAGCAAGAGGGCACAACAGAAGATTTTCCCAGAAGGTGATTCCCACCGTAGATTTTTTGACTAAAGATTTCAACATATTCTGAGTGGAGAGTTCCATCCATTTCCATTTTTCTATCGATTTTCCAGGCGGAGAATTACACAGTTTTCTTGGTGGTGATTTCCATTTTTTTCCGTAAAGAGATTTCTACCATTTTCCGAAAAAAAATTACCCCTATTCTCCCGCTGGAGAGTTACACCAATTTCTAGGTGGCTATTTTCCATCCTTTTGCGCAAGGAGATTTTCACCACTTTCCAGGTAGATACTTCCACCCATTTTCCAGATGGAGATTTCCACCAATATTCTGACTGGAACTATATGGGACCTAAAAGCAAATCGAGTAAGAATGGAGCATCCTGGCAGCGCGGTTGTCTCCACTGTCCGCGCTCACGTCACTCTTGCTGGTGGCGGACGGCACACACCTTGCTCCCTGAGAACATTTAACCTCACACGTTGTCGTCATCACAGCTGCCTTTTACCCCTCCAACCCCATGGGACATGCAGGACGTATCCGGTCCCAGAACACCTGCATCGCCACACTCACCCTCGTCGATCCCACCAGGTTCGTGTATTGTTCACAGAACGTTCACATTTTGTCGTTCACAGAACCTCCTCAGACCCGGTCGGGTCTTCTAGAGGTTCACGTTGTTCAGAACGTACAGAAAGCACGAATGAGAAGAAGTTCCGAACGTGCGTCGCATGCGTTACGATTTACGTCGTGCGAGTCCTAAATGCGCCGCAGGTTCCGAACGTACATCACGTGTGTTCTGCACATACAACACGCACATTCCAAACGTCGCCCATGTTTCGAAACATGCTACCGACAGACAGAACGTGTGTTGCGAACAACACAGGTGCTCCGTACCTCATCACCTCGATGTGTTCCCGACGCACATCGCACGTGTTCCGAACGAACCTCGACCCCGAGTTCCAAACGATCACGCATGTTCCGATCTTCACACGCACGAGTTCGCTACCCCTTCTGGCTCTTCATCAGATAGCAATCGAGGTCCCCGTCCCCGTCGTGTTCCGGAACCCCCAGGATGACCTCGGGTCGCAGCTGACCCAGCGCGACCTCTGGCAGCAGGAACACGATGACGCTCTCCTTGGGTGGTGCCACCTCGATGTGTTCGAACGGCCCGAAGTTGCGCAGCCGGAAGATGACACCGATCGCGACGTAGGCCATGAGTTTCGGCACCTCGTAGGTGAGTGCCTGCACGTACGCGTACTCGCTGAGGAACATCGCCAGCGTGACGACGAGCGAGAAGACGAGCGAGAACGCCGCGCAGACGAAGCGGAAGCGCGTGAACAGCGCCACCTTGTGGAGCAGCTGGTCGTCGACGGTCGTCTTCGTGCGGTAGTGCAGGTTGCAGCGGTTGACGAAGTGGCGGAACTTGCGGCGCCGCCGCTGGATGTACTCGATGTTCAGCGAGCAGCATTTGAGTGTCTTGTAGGTGAGAAAGACAACGCAGCAGATGGAGAATGCCTGAAAGCAAGACGAGAAGAGACAGGGTGACAAAAGTAAGAAGGAAAGAAGAAAGAAGGAATAAAGATGAAAACAGCTAGGAAGCTTGGAAGGAGGAGGAAACAAAAAGATGACAGGTGCAGGTTCTTAGTTTAGAGAAGAGGCTAACTTGTGCATTGTCATTTTTCCTGGTTTATGGCCTACTAATAACAATATATATATATTATTTATATTTATATATTATATATAAATATATATATAATATAATATATATATATATAGGGACATGTATGAAGAAGAGGCCTGGACAGCCTCTACGGGACACAGCTCGACTGTGCTACCCCACGGGATTTAGCTTGGTTGTTGTTGCCATATAATTGTTTATATATATATATTTATATATAATATATAAATATAAATAATATATATATATTGTTATATATATATATACATTCCCGATTATGATCCTGGTATAGAAGTGTAATAAAAGTTAACAATTACTTCACAATGTCGCAAACATAGGCTTTTGGATAGTGCATGTGTTGACACTCACCAAAAAGTAGTTATGCACCCATCTAATGCACATCAATGAGACGGCGAATACGAGGAAGAAAACTGAAATGTAACAAAAACCCATTATTTTTCAATTCTTTCCTACGACACACCAAATAATGGCACTATGTCAAGGAATATATTATTACAAGTATGAACAAAGATAGTATCCACCTATACCTGCTACCTCCGTGCAATTTTCTCGAAATTAATAACGCCCATGCTTTGTTGAAATCTACAAGTTTTCGTGTATTTATCTACAAGCACCGTCATGTTCTCTTACATATGAATGAGCCCCATTGCAGGTTGTTCATTGTACAGTGGAGTAACCCCCATCCACGTGCAACTATTAGCATTATTGTGAACATAAGAGCATCCTCAAGGCTCCGGAAGAAATGGCAAACATTGTCCATCGAGTCAAACTCTAAACCTGCAAACAACAAAACAATAGCATCAGACCTAGGTAACCATAATATTTATAGGTTGAACTCTTTCTATTACATCACAATAATAACCCAGACTGGAACTCACAGATAAAGCATACGTTCAATTGCCGAAACATGCAGGCCGATACAGTTATTCTGTTGCCTGACCAGAATCTAAATATTTTGTAGAGCGTTGGTTCACTCTGACCTTGGGACCCTAGATTTTAATGATGGGCTTGGTATTATATCAGGACTAGCATTAGGGATAGGTTAGTTCAATGGTTATGGTATAGGTTAAGATAATTGGTTAGGGTTAGGGTTAGGGATAGGATAGGGCTAGGGGTTAGGGTTAGGGGTTATGATTTAGAGGTCTTTGGATTATGATAGTGTAATGATAATGATGGTTTATGTATCAGGTCCTAAGGTAGGATTGACTCTACTTAGTAATAGAAAATCTTGGAATACCTTCATCTGAGATACTGCGCCAGCGGGAGAGTATGATGGAGACCAGTAGAAGCTTCAGTATGGGAGCAAACGTTAGCAGCTTGTGCAGCTTGTTCGAGTACTGAAATGTATAGTTGCATGCACGTGTACAGTGCAATAAAATACATGGGCGATTCCTTCAACATAAAGAACAAACTCACCAGAGGCTATATCGCTCATCACTATTGCTGTCTGAATAACAACAAACTTGTTCTGCACATATTAGCTGCTGAAACTTGAATGTGTTGTACTAGGGATGATGCCCTAGAAAACTACAAGCACGAATTTACCCTTTGACCCGAGGCTATTTCTCACATACTTCTACTATGGCTCATAGGGTCTATGTCCCCCAGGGTACTATCGGAGGGTACCCTGGGTACGGTTCAATATATCGGAACGTACCCTGGTAACTATCTGATATGGTTAGGGTTAGGGTTAGGGTTAGGAAGTAGGCGTAGGCGACTCCCTAGACTCGTTAGTGGAGTAGGCGAGGTACGGTCCGGCATATTAGATAGTACCAGGGTATGTTCCGATATATCGAACCGTACCCAGGGTACCCTCCGATAGTACCCTGGGGGACATAGACCCTCTCAGCTCTACTATGCCTCAATATCATGAGTATGCAGAACGTAGATAAAACAATATGGATGTGTGACACCACTACTTGAATCATAATGCCAAACCTATTGCTTATGTTATGAACATATACATATACATATACATATTCATATAGTATACATATATACACTAGATCATACGTACGTATAGCATAGATTTATTAAAGATTTACATACAAGGAAATGCCTTCAATGCTTTCTACTGGTGCACTGCCACTTGACACATATTTTCAAACACAAAAGGTTTACTCGGACAATGACCCCCTACGTGCCAAATATGAACATTGTAATTCACGCTGTATAGATTTACAACTTAAGGTGCTATGTTTGTGGTGTTGTGGATATGGATATGTTTTACTGTATGCACGTACGTATACTATAGGTTACGAATGAATACACACATAGTGGTGTAACAGTCTCTCTGTATCTAATGACACCACACGAGCAGAAACATACAAGACAATAAGCACAAGGGAAGTAATGAGACTGAAAGTAATGGCAGTGCATGTAGAGCTCTCTCATGTATGTTTACTGATTTCATTAGTAGCAACCTGACTTACACACGGCTCACTCTCTTTTTATGCCAATTTCCTCATCAAATTTCCTCACAGAAATTGAATGATACAAATATGAATGCACACAAAAACTGACCATTAGCATGTGTGTGAATGTGAATGTGTGTGTATCTGTTGTTCCGTGACGGCATGCATATATGTGTGCATTCGTAACATTAAATAATTACCGACTGTCCATAAGATGTGTGCATTCATTACCAGTACGTTTGTGTTCTCTATGTATTAGCACTATCAAGTCAAATAACTCACCCGTCTGAAAAGAAAGAAGTTGCCAAGCCAGGCCATGATGAGTATGATCCAGATGAACAGGAGAGCATCGTAGATGTATATCATCGGTATCTCATCGCTGCTCAGCTGCTCATTCCCCGGATTCACTGTCATCAGTGCACTCTGCAGGAGACAAGGGGAACTAACCGTCCGATCTGCCACCAGTGTCTCCTTGTATTACATTTCAGATATAGTAAGAAGTGCATTTTCTAGTAAAAGCAGATGGAACCTGCAGATGCCACACATCAGAGTGTATTACATTAAATACTCTTTGATGGGTTCACAAAAAGATGGGTTTACATTGTACAATGTCTGGTTTACGGTTAAGGGCGTTCATTGAAAAAGTATGTTTTGAGTTTTCTATGTGTTTTAAGCAATACTGACACGCTTTACGGTTCACCCTTAATTATTTCATAATTATCAGTTGCTACTATTAGTACACCAGCCAAACATGGAAAAGTCCTCTAGAAAAAATTTCTAGTGCATTTTTTGTTAATAGCAGGCAACCATGCTAGATCAATCAGTCATAGGGTGGGGAAGAAAATGTGGGTGGATGCCACCCTCGAGTTTGACTTTAAAGGTCATTTTCAAGGTCAAAGGTCAAATAATGTCAAATTTTGTGTTTTTTTACATTGTGCATTAATTGACATCAACTTTGTCTGCTCTATCCATAGAAACTATTTCTGTTATCAAAAACATGTATTTAGCCTGTTTAATTAACAAGTGAATTTTTATTTTTACACATATATGTGTATGGCATCGTGAAACACAAAAATGTGATTTTCTCGAAATCTGTTTATTTTGCATGTTAAAGTAATTTGCACACCGAATCCTTTGGTTTAAACTATCATACACGTTCAAAATTGAGCACACTTAATCATCAATCAACATCATCAACATTGAGACCACTTTCACACGTTCTGATAGTCGTCCAGCAAGCACAAGGCGTGATATTGATGATGTGATGAAGCTTGCCACACAAGTGACAAGATTTGATGTATTCCGAGTACACACTACCTTGGCTGAAGGAGAGGGAGACTGTGACACGGACGGAAAAGACATACCATTGGTATCACTGGCAACCAAAGATACTGCATCGAATGACGTGGTGAGAGATCTACTCACAGCTGAAGACCGAGGAAAGAAGCATGTTGTCACTAATGTAAAGCAACGCCTAATTGAGGGAACTGTCAGGTTTCATGACACACTGAAGAAGCACCACTCAAAAACCTTCGCTGATCTGTACAAAGCAAATGTATCTACTAAACAAAATGTACAGAAAACAATCAAAGCTGTAACAGTGTAAGAAAGCTACTGCAGCGATTGCTCAATGCTGTCACCGCCAGGCGACCACTGGAAATGGCGACCATTCTCAAGCATGAACTGTCCCCAATCCCACTGTCTCTGGCAAAGGCTGGAGGGAAGATGAACTCTGCTTCAAAGTCGGAGCTGATTAACATCTTGATGGCAGGACTACAAGTACCCCCTGAAGTTCCAGAAGCTGACATAAAGACATGTGTGCTTATAGATGGTCACGCCCTCATCCAAGCTCTTGGAAAGCCTCTTGGGTGTCAGACATTTGGTGAATATGCTGATGTGTTTGTAAAAACTGTAACACGTCACTTCGGACAGCACACAACAAGAGTTGATGTAGTATTTGATCGCTACATCGGGGAAAGCTCCATCAAGGCAGTGACTCGCTCAAAGCGACTGGGAAAAAAAGAAACCAATCCGCAAGCTCATCGATGGGCCCAATGTCCCACTCCCACAGGTTTGGGTCCAGTTCATTGCCTTGGATGAGAACAAAGCTAATCTTGCCAAGTTCTTGTCTGAGGAAATCATAAAGAAAGGCAAAGATCTGCATGGGCGATGTGAGCTGGTAACCGGAGGCGGATTTGCAGATGCTACTGATGCAATATCAACAAGGAGAGATGACCCCAGGCTTCACAGAAATCATGAAGAGGCTGATACCAGGCTGATACTCCATTCGTGTGAGGCAGTTAATGAAAGATACCAAAGAGTGCTCATAATCTGCAGAGGCACAGATGTCATGCTACTTCTGATACACTTTGTATCAACAAGAACATCCGAAGTGTGGATGGTGTCTGGAACAGCAAATAATCAGAAATGTTACCCACTACATGCCGTATCTGAGAGACTTACACAACCTGTGAGGGAAAACCTGCTCAGCTTCCATGCGCTAACAGGTTGTGACACAACCTCTTATTTCAGTGGCCATGCAAAGAAGTCATACTGGAAAGCCTTTGATAGTCAACCACTTCTTGTCAAGGGGATCGGTCGTGATGGAGACCTTGCATCTATTGAACAGTTTGTGTGTCACCTGTATGGAACACCTGAGCAACGAACCGTCAACCATGCCAGGCTCCAACTCTTTGGAAAGGCTAAGAAGGGTCTAGAGATGTTACCACCGACAAGGAATGCACTGGAACTTCACGCCACACGCGCCAATTATCAGACAAAGATTTGGTTGCAAGCAGACCAGGAACACATAGATGTCTCATCGCCTACAGACACCTCAACTTGGAGGAAGGAATCCGGTTGCCTTAAAGCTGTGTGGACAAGGCTACCCCCAATCCCAAAAGCCTGCCTGGGGCTGGTAGCCTGTGGATGCAAATCAAAATGCAGAACAGCTCGATGTACTTGCTTCAGAGAGAACTTCAGGTGCACTTTCGCCTGCGGATGTGATGCGACTGACTGTTGCAACCCAACTGGCCAGTAGACTCATATCAAGAGCCTCATGCCGATACACATGCATGTACATGTAGGCTTATGAGACACACCCTTCAATACTGTATGTTCCCCTTCTGTTGTGTCACCCAGCTGGTCACTCAGCCACACCACATTAATTTAATGAATATTTTAAACACATTGTAATGATGGATAAATGGCGAAACCGTTTAGCCCTTTTTCAGATTAGAAAAGTTTTAATTTCTTAGTTTAGTTTCTTATATGTATATTTATGTATGATAGTTTAAACCAAAAGATTCGGTGTGCAAATTACTTTAACATGCACAATAATCACATTTCGAGAAAATCACATTTGTGTTTCACGATGCCATACACGTGTAAAAATTAAAATTCACTAATTGTTAATTAAACAGGCTAAAAGTAAATACATGTTTTTGATCATAGAAATAGTTTCTATGGATAGAGCAAACAAAGTTGATGTCAATTAATGCACAAAAGCCACAATGTAGAAAAACACAAAATTTGACCTTATTTGACCTTTGACATTGAAAAATGACTTTTTAAGGTCAAAATCGAGGGTGGCATCCACCCACATTTTCTTCCCCACCCTATGACTGATTGATCTAGCATGGTTGCCTGCTATAAACAAGCAATGCTCCATAAAATCATATGTTGGCTGGTGTACTAGAACAAATCTGACTGCCACAAGAGGGGGCTATACAGTGTTTAATTACAGATAAAACAAGTGGCCATTGCAAAAAAAAGTTCGTTTAGGATTTTACAGTGACAAATTAGTATATTGAACGTGCGTGATAGTTTAAACCAAAAGATTCGATGTGCAAATTACCTTAACATGCAAAATAAACACATTTCGAGAAAATCACGTTTTTGTGTTTCAGAATGCCATACACATGTGTAAAAATAAAAATTCACTTGTTAATTAAACAGGCTAAATACATGTTTTTGATAACAGAAATAGTTTCTATGGATAGAGCAGACAAAGTTGATGTCAATTAATGCACAATGTAAAAAAACACAAAATTTGACCTTATTTGACATTTGACCTTGAAAATGACATTTAAGGTCAAAATCGAGGGTAGCATCCACCCACATTTTCTTCCCCACCCTATGACTAATTGATCTAGCGTGGATTCCTGCTATTAACAAAAAATGCACCCCAAAGTAAAAAAATTACATATTGGCTGGTGTACTATATTATACTATATACAAACTGAGTCGCAGGATCTGAAATGTTTTCAAAACTCATCTCTTAACCTTTACTAGACCTCATGCCAAATTAACGAAATAGTTTCAGGTGGTGGATAATTGAAATTATTTACATTTTTATCGATAATTATAATACATTATTTTCATAATGTTCTTCATTTGCATACCTCAACAATTTACATGTGTTACTCAACCCTACAATTATTAAACTCCAAAATGGGCTGATAACATGCAACCAAAACATCTAGGAAATTAAAATCCTTATTGTGATCCCCACATGCCCCACACAGCTTGCCTTTATAAAACAAAAGGGCATCCCTAGACTCAATCTTACTTTAGGATCCCAGACATATATGATAGGATTAGGATTAGGTTAGGCTTAGCGATAAGGTAAGGCTAAGATATAGGGGTGTAACGACTAACGATTAATCGCGATTCAACTCTATCGCGGTACATCCCGTTCGGTCCGTTTTCGTTTTTTTTCCGTTTCGGTTCTTGGTTCGGTTCCGGGAAATACATTCAACCCACTCTCACTTAGGGGGGCGCACACGGCGAGCAAACAGAACTAACTTAACTTTCACTTGGTCATTACTCAGTTGGACTGCATGGGGTAGTCAGACTACTAGTCTAATAGTCTAGTTTGGTCAGGTAGATAACTTTAATGAATAGTATTATGACTATTATTCTTGAACTGCATATGTATATTACTTTATTGTCTTTTGGCCAATGAATAACACAATAAATGTATAATATTATGATAGGTATTATTATTATTATTCAAAATGGAGGAAAAATTTCCCCATTTTCTCAGCATTTTTACTACTGAAAATAACCGAACCGAATGAACGGAACCGAAGAGCAAAAACTGAAAACCGAACCAAACCGAAACAAAATGTATCGTTACACCCCTAATAAGATAATGGGTTAATGATGACGATTAGGATTAGTAGCTACGGTTATGGTTGGAATTATAGTTTTAAGGTTAGAAATATGGTGACATCGACAATGCTCAAAAACCGAAAGAACATTCCTTTTCCCTAAGAACAACAACTAGCTCGGTCTGCGAGTACTCACGCTGCACGTGACCTGTAGGTCGATCGTCTCAGATAGGTTCGTCACGACTGGACCCTTCGAGTTGGGACACTGCAGCAACACGAAGCGATAGAAGTCGGTGTTGCTCACACGGTGCTGCACGTGGTAGGTGCCGGAAGAGTTGGGCGCCACAGTGACGCGCTGGCAGAACGTGTCCGACATTGACACGTCCTTCTCGCTCATCCCGCCCGATAGCTGGTGGCAGCGGTAGTTCAGCTGCGTGAGTGGGATGCGCGTGAACTGTGGAGGAAAACATGATTAATAGTTATGATTAACACGTGATTAATAGTGATTTACGCAACATCCTGGTGCTTCAAACTTTTTTAAATATTACATTACCCTTCAACGTGCTTCTGTATTATTATAATACTGCTGTGCTATTAGTTTAATGGAATATATTAGCACAGGCATCACATACGCTTCTCTGTAAATGAAATAAGGGGACTCACACTTAAACAAACCTGTTTCCTTCTTGAAAATTATCCACACTATGAAAAGATGAGGACAACATTTTGTTTTTATTCACTCCTGATGGTATGGTATCTTATGCCGATTAATACATTTTAGTATCTATAATATAATTCCATTATCACATAGCTACCTTTCTGCCACCAGACATACTGCACAACAGTAGCCATAGGTCAGGTGGTGCACTTGGCTCCTGAAATGCAAAATAGGCACAATAACGTACAGTATAAAGGCACTTTTCCTGGTCGACGAATGCTTGACAATGCACTTTAAAGAGATTCTCTGCCCATGGTCATTTTGCTGAGCAGTTCTACTGTGGCTAAAGGGGTCGTTGTCGTATATGTAGTACCCGAGGTATCAGCGAGTATGTCGTCTACGCCTACTCCCTAACCCTAATCCTAACACCCTAACCCTAACCATATCAGATATTTACCTCGGGTACATATTATACGCTATTATACGACAATGACCCTTCGTGCTCTACTGTGTGTATTATTCAAGGAACACAAATTTAGATATGTGAGAGGTTTTACATATTTGAATGTTGTATATTCCTGTTACATTGCAATTTGCTTCAAATATATAAATGTCAAGAGCTCACGGCAGCTACTTTACACAATTTAAAAAAATTCTAAATTTACGACTGTGGATACTACCTATAAACGGATATGACACTATCTAAACATTATACTATTTATAGCCTTTATAACGGAGTGACATGAATCTCAATTGCAGCTACTCTGTCAAAGAGCTAGAACTAAATACACTAATAAACACTTAATACAGTGATTTTTTATAGTGAGCTTAAGGAGATAAAAGCATTTTTCAAATAAACTAATTTTCATAATTTTGGAGTTTTAATACTGACACTTTTCCACTTTTTTACAACACTGGATTAAACAGCTAAAAATTTGGCTGGATTATATATGTGTGTACGTATGTGTATGTATGTGTGTGCGTGGTGTTATGCATGTCCTTGAAGACCCTGCTTTCTTTTTTTGCAAGCTGACTCACACTTGTAAATAAGCAGGAATGTAAATAATACACATCTGATTTTGGTTTACATTCTTGCTAACACATTCTAAACAAACCTAGCAGCATCACTTAGCATCATGGACTTGCCATACCGACATGCATCACATCAATGCAGTAAATATAAAATATTGCTATTTCATGTCCTTCCATCTTTGCAATAAAGGTGTGATTTTCGAATGCAAGTGGAAAACTGTGGATCATCTCACATCCAATCTATACAGATATGTCTATGTTTTTAAATGAAAAAATTGGAAGTTTAGCCCTTCTCTTCAGTGTGAAATGATCCCTGAGCAGTGTCACATTATTTTATTCACATCCTGGCATTTAACATCACACGACCTTAATCTTCAGTCATTATATAACCGAATATGACCTTTTAGTAGTCATTGTCTTTTTTTCCTAATCAAATATTTTCACATACAGGTTCAGGACAGCGTAGCTGGAAGTTGATCACCCCTCCTCTTATGAAGCCAAATCCTCGATCTGTGAGGAGGTCATATGATGCATCACTCCAGGAGTAGAACACCTACAACAACAACAACAACAACAATACAAAAATCTTCATGGAACTATCAACAATAAAAATTATACATCCAAAGGGTTTAGAGGTTTGTGCATTCTCCACAAGCCAGTCTCACTAAGTGACCTACATGTCTGAGCGAGATAACCACCTTAATAATGTAGTTGGATACTGTTGCTATGTTAGTCAAGCTAACCCAGTTTGTACATAAATGTGTACACATTCATACCAAAATATTGGTTTTGTGACGCTTCGTTACTAGGCATTATTATTATAACATCCCATTGCAACAGTGATTTGGATCCAGATCAAGATATAGTACTAGCTAGCAAGGCTACCGGAATTTAAAATTAGGTACCTAGATAGAAATTTGGCCAATTCCTGGCTCGTGGTGTAGTGGCAATTTCTAACTATTCGGTAGGGTATTTAATCATAATAGAAGTGCAAGGTCAGCATGATAACTGTAGGTAGTGATATTATTTGTCACTTCAGCCATGACGTATATGATACACCATGAGTAAACTATAAACTTCTAACAACCAAGCATATGGTGTGCTAGCATGGGCACTGCAACTCTTCCCAGGCCTCGAAATAAACAAGCCTTACAGCACACATCGTTAATCTTTATTAACTATTTTAAGACCTTCCTAACAAGATCCTGAATAACAAAACAACAAGCTTAAACAGAAAACATAACTAGAACAGTAGTTGTTTAACTTCGCGGAACCAATTTTTCCTTGGCTAAACTTTCTGCAACAAATATCAGAAAACTAACTTCACAAGGTTTCACATGATATTTGCACAGATGGTAACCTGCCCCAGTAATCAAAACTCTATTTGTTTTGCCTCCTATTGTGGCAGTTCCAGAATGCACGCTGATTTTGTTGAGTGACTACTCCGGCCATATGGTCAAAACTTGTTCGTGGCCTAACTGTCACCTAAACCCTCCCTAAACCTAATCCCATTCCTAAATCTAACTGAAATTGCATCAAAAGTATACATTAAACTGGCTCTAGCATAAAATCCAGGGATAATAAACCAATGCACAATAATAATTATTAATGAATCAAAATAATAACTAGTAATAACCATAGAGATAACAAAATTAATAATAAATAATAAACAAATTCAGAAGGAACACAATCCCACTCCCACATAAAATGTAGGAATACTATAAACTACTACATTAGTGAGAATGTATTTTAATTTAATTGTCTATTGTAAGCAACACACATTCTGGAGTGCTGGAGCACGAGAAAAAACAACTGGAACGCGGGGTACCACAGCAAGATGAATCCACTTTGCTAAATCTAATCACTGTTTCTGTCAACCCATGACACGACTTCTTTTCGAGCCACGCTGTAGCTTTGCTTGGGGTAACAATTCATTTTTGGACTAGATGCAATAGTTTAAATATACAGTCATTTTAACAGCATGCTATCTTCAAACGGCCAGCTGATGAAACATCCAAATATTATTAGCAGAAAACTAAAGTATGAAAGGAAATAACTTCCCAAGGCAATGGACTTTACAGTACCAATCTCGTTTTAGAAAAAATAAATAAATATGATAACATTTCCAATTGTCTCTGGTGGGACTGGTGGCTCTCCTGGGTAGTGTGTTACAGCATGCACAAAAGCTACCTAATAAACTATGCCACCTCTACATTCCACTGAGGCCGCATGTTGTACAGATATCTCGGGTATTAAATGGTAAAGTAAAATAGTGGGGTAAAAATACATTAACTTTGTATTTTTACAAAATAACTTCACATGCATGTACAGTTATGTACACATGTACAAATTAGTACAAGTTTTTTGCCATCATGCTACCGGATGGGACTTTAGGTGATGCCGAAAATCCCTTTTTAATTTGTGCATCAACATGAAGTTATTGCACAAGAATACTAAGTTAACAGGTTTATCTACCAGTACCACCACTTTACCCTACAATTAAAGCCCTGCCACTTCTGAAGGAAATTAGGTTCGCCGGAGCTTGACAAGTGGCGTTGTTTGTTAAGTCACAGGCACTTGGAACATCTCAATTAAAAAAAAGAAGGTAAATAAACACGAAATGTATTTACTACCAAAGTCTTAATGTTTCTCTACTCTATTTCGCCTATTATTGCCGATAATTACCCGTAAATGCCGGTCAAATTCTCATTTGCAACACACAAGTACACCGCACGTCCGCCCTGTGCACAAAAAGCATGAATAAGAGAGCTGGTAGGAAAGCGTGATCGCTCGACGCTCGCTTCATTTCACACGACTACAGAACGAAAACACACCAAACAGCCTCCATCTTGGTATCTATCTGTAGCTAAATGTTCACTTGTTCAAATTATAACTCTGTCCTTTGTTCTTACCTACTCGCGCCAGAGATATCTCGTGAAATCTTGCAGGAAATGTTCTCTCCGTGAAAATGTAAAGAGGACGCATCATCCGAAAATCCCTAACCGCGCTACTTTCGATCGATCACTGTAGTCGTGTGTGTGTGATGTCATGCCCGTGCGCATTATGCTTGGCTTGGCGGGCCTCGAAACGGAGGCTCAGAGGCATGCAGCAGCTCATCCCGGCATGCAATGCGCCCCATTACTCGTGTATAAACAGACATCTCGTCCTCTTTACATTTTCACGGAGAGAACATTTCCTGCAGGATTTCACGAGATATCTCTGGCGGGAGTAGGTAAGAGTATAATTCGAACAAGTGAACATTTAGCTACAGATAGATACCAAGATGAAGGCTGTTTGGTGTGTTTTCGTTCTGTAGTTGTGTGAAATGAAGCGAGCGTCGAGCGAATTTTGCAATTACGCTTTCCTACCTGCTCTCTTATTCATGTTGTTTGTGCACAGGGCGGCGTGCGGCATACTTGTGTGTTGCAGATGAGCATTTGACAGGCATTTACGAGTAATTATCGGCAATAATAGGCGAAATAGAGTAGAGAAACATTAAGACTTTAGTAGTAAATACATTTCGTGTTTACATTTTTTTTTTTTTTGAGACGTTCCAAGTGCCGCTGAGAGGGTCTATGTCCCCTGGGGTACTGCCGGAACGTACCCTGGGTATAGTCCGGTATACCGGAACGTACCCTGGTACTATCTAATATGCCGGACCGTACCTCGCCTACTCCAATAACGAGTCTAGGAAGTCGCCTACGCCTACTCCCTAACCCGAACCCTAATCCTAACCATATCAAATAGTGACCAGGGTACGTTCCGGTATACCGGACCGTACCCAGGGTACGTTCCGGCAGTACCCTGGGGGACATAGACCCTATGAGCCCAAGTGCCTGTGTCACGTTAAGTAGGTTGTGTGTATGATTTAACCCATTAACCGCTCCTTATTTAATGCTAATGAATAATGTATTGTGGTTAAAATAAAGGAAGCAGATTAGATTAATGTTAATAATAATTAAGTGTTGAACGGGAGCACTGCCACTGGGGCGGTGCCAGAGGCAAGTATAAACTACAACTGAAAAATTTCCCTTCAGTCCTTGTTTACATCACACAGCCTCACAGGGTCCGGGAACTGCCGTACAACGAAATATAATTATAAGGTACCATGCCGTCGTCATGTTAATCATTTATTCCTGCATGATGTATCCGAGGTATCGTAACCAAGTGAAAACTACACTAACTTAGTTACTAATATTATTACTAGAACGCCACTATATTATACATAATTGAAATTGCATCATGATCATGATCGTCAGCCTCAGGAATGTATTTCGGAATGACAAGATACCTTGACATCATCTCGGAGAAAATAGCGAGCTTCGGCTACAAGCAGCGCTAAATGAATGACTAGCAGACACAAAATATCTCCTGCCATAATTCTGTTCTGCATTAGCCATACGTCAACACACGTCGCAAGATTTCATATCAAACCATCAAACACAATATCTCTACAAACAACAAACTCCATTTTTCCTATTTACAGCTGTCTATAGAAGCAGTGCTGCCCTCTTTTTATCAAGAATAAACAAGTCGGCAGTCTCCCAGTGAGATGTAGACGAACTCCACTCGTCCCTGTGCCGTGGCCACCCGACAATGATTGGTTGAATAGATATTCGTCATTAGTAACGGTGGTAAGTTGAAAGAGTAACGACTTACGGAGACAGTCTATTTTCCGTCAGTAAATAACAAAACCAAAGAGCGGGAGAGATAGTTTCGGATTTTGGTTCTGCAAAAAGTACTGAGATTTGTCAGGGTCAACGTCAGACGTCTACGTCAAACGGAAGATTGTGAGACATTTACAGATAATACCATTCGCCGTTATGGCAATGACATAGTTTTATTTATTTGAATTTTAATATAGCCCTCATATAACCCGCGTTATAAATGGCAAATGCTAAAGCCGTTAGACGTTAGGCGTGTGTATTGCCTTTCAATCTCGTAGCGTAGTCCAGCTAATGCTATACTCACTATACATACGGTTACCTACAGCTCTACGAATTCTTAGTAGATCAGGCTAAAGACGTATTTATATTACCCGTAAGGCGTAAGCTGTATGATACTATTAGTATTACTAGTATTACTAAGTAGTAAGATAGTCCTGTGAGTAATCATGCAGCCCGTCTTACTCTGCCTGTTAGTGTTAGTGTTAGAGCTACCAAGTACCATTGCATTACTATTACTAGCATTACTGCCATACTGGCAGCTCTACGACTACGTATGTGCTTGGATCGAGTAATCATTCTGACGTCAGAATGATTACTCCAAGTTGTGTGTGTGCGTGCGTGCGTGCGTGCGTGCGTGCGTGCGTGCGTGCGTGCGTGCGTGTGTTGGCAGTGCCTGCGGAACGGGGGGGCTAAGGGGGCTCGAGCACCCCCACGTTTTTGATGCCACATAAAATTACGTGAGAATTAAAATTAAATTATTACGTCTCTCGTTTTATTACTTAGTGCTAGAGCTCCCGAACCCAACCCCTGCACATGCTTGGCGTGCGCACAGGCGCTATCACAAAATCGCTCTACTGGATCGTAACAAATTGAGCACCCCCACTTCAAAAATCGTTCCGTGACACCTGGACGGGGTGTTTGTGTGCGTGCGTGCGTTTGTTCTTATCTGACCATTTTTGAACCAAATTACGTAGACGTGTAGTTCTAACAGACTCGGGTGTTATTGACCCAGTGAGCTCTACCAGTCCTATATCAAAACCATGAACATGCATGTTAACTGTCAGTACAGAGTATACTATGCAGATTTTTCCCTGCAGTGACACGAGTGAGGCGGGTCGCCTTGCTCAAATTCTCAGCCGCCACACACAAATTTGTCCAAAACACCGCCTCGCTGACGAAAATCACTGTTCTTCCATAGAACAGTGCTTAGAATGCACCAAATTGCAACATTTTTTCACAAATTATTTAGAGGGCATGCCCCTGTATCCCCCTAGCTGGGTAAGCACCTGCGGTGCTCGCTTTGCTATGACCTCGAAACGTGCATACACATCAAAAGGAAATTACCACTTCACAGACCTTTTTGGCCAGGGGAAACACTGCCATGGAATAGCTCAACACTGCTGCTGCAAAGTGAGGGACTATATATATATATATATATATATCAGGAGTCTATCAATATATTGATAGACTCCTGTATATATATGCAGGGTTCTCCGAGCTTTTTCATTATAGCATGGCGGAGCCTGGCCTTACTAGTCCAGTTTAGCATTTTTTAGCTAATTTTAGCATGGCGGCTATGAATTTAGAGTGGCGGGTGCATTTTAGGAGGCGGGGCTCGACGATAGCCTGGCGGGCCGCCAGGCTATAAGTGCTTTTGGAGAACCCTGATATGTTATCTTACGACCATATATATGCATCAGCGATGTAATTGTGTTTGTGTTTCCTTCAGAGGCAGCACGCTACTGACTTGACATAAAGTCATGCAGAGCACGAGAATGGGAACTGGGCATGCGGCCCAAGGTTCAGAACACTGCAGGTATTATTTACGTGGAAGTTGCAGAAAGGGCCTCTCATGTAACTACTCACACATGCCTGCGGATGTGCCGGTAAGAATTATAAGTAAACCCTTATAAATAATATGTTATTGCAAGCACATTATATACAGTTAAAGCCCTGTTGGTAGTCACCTGTTTAGAGGTTATAACCTTTTTATGGCCACTTTTGGTATTCCATTTAAGTGATAGGTATACAGCAGGCTTTCAGATTTGAAAAGTACAGAGGACTACTAATGACTCCCCTAGAACACCATAGGGGACTTTCACGCTCCATAATCACACCCTTAAGAGGCATTATGGAGACTCCATTAAAAAATCACACCCTTAAGAGGCATGATGGAGAGCTCCACTAAAAATCACACCCTTAAAAGGTCTGCCATTGTTTTAAGAATCGACGAAGGGTGTATGAAAGTTGCATTCTCATTGGCTACTGAAACTAGAGTTGGGCTAGAATAGATACTCCAGTCAGGGCTCGCGATCCATTGCAACATTGACAACTCTATGGACAGGGAAAATAGCCTCAAGGCCACGCGTGACGCGGCGGCTTTTGATGTACACGATCGATCGATCGGGGGCCGTACTATATACAAGTACGGCCTGCGTAGCACGCGCAGCATACACACACACACACACTTGCAGCGTCAAATAAACGCACACACTGGCCAACGTCTGACAATCTCAAACAGTGAACTAAGCCGTGTCTATATTGTAAAGCAAACTATATTACAATGTTATTAAATGAAGGTACTGTTAGTAGGCTGTTGGACTGTAAAATCAAAATTTGTACATTCTAACCCCCCTAACATTTTCTCTCAACGGATTTAGACGTTTCACAAAATCGACCCTGGGACTGTGAAATCCGCGGATTTCCGCGGATCCGCGGAAGATTCTCATCCCTGTAAAATGGAGCGCTATTTCAACATAATACACAGACTTTTGGTGCGCGATTTCAACCACTTTTATGAGGCGCGATGATGCACGCACCATGGCACAATTTATGGTGCGCGGTGGAGCGCGAGCGCGATCGCGCCCCTTAAAAATGAAAGCCTGATACAGTGTTAATTACCTTGATAAAACATGCATATCTCTATATAGAATACTTTTGGAATTTCCATTGAGTGACCTTATACATTGATTTATTGTACTGACATCTGCATTATGTAAATCCAATTGGACCATTGTTGAATTCTATTTAATTGGTGTGTGTATGTGTGTGCACATGCGTGTACGCGTACACGCACGTGCATGACAGGGAATTTTTTTTTTTTAATGGGAGCTCTTTCAAAGGTCTGTGGAAAAAATAGCTCTCGTCAAAAATTTTACTGGAGCTATTTTGAGCCTCACGGGAGTCATTTCAGAGGTTTGAAGAGCGAATCGCTTATCGCTCCCGTGTATTTTTTACCCTGGCGCATGAGTGCATGTGTGTGCGTCTGTGTATCCGGGTTTGTGTTTTAACTAGATTTCTGTTTGCAGATTTGTAAATTTTTTCGAAAAGGAACCTGCTTTCACGGCGATCACTGTTGGTTTAGACATGAAGGAGAAACACTCCCAATCAGAGCAAATCAGCATGTGACATCAAATAGCCAAGAAAACAACCAGAAAGGTTGTGATGGTATTGTGGAAGTTGGTCCATGTGGTATATTGGAAAAGAATGCTGACATTGAGAGTGGTGCCAAAGGAAAACTCTTGTGTAAGTATAGAGGGTTCCGCGACTTGGTCTAAAATTAGCAATATTACCTACAATCCCGGGCCGCCGGTCATACCGGTTACAAAAAGAGCGAACACGTGTCGCGTGTAATGTGCCGCTCTGCACAATCAACCGATTTTACATTGGCTATATAGTGTTATTATTGCAATAGATATTAGAAGTAAGAGGATCCCGATTTACCAGACAGGTTTATCAGCGTGGGTTTTAGGTGCTACAGTTCAAGGAGGCTGCCACACAGTCGGCAGATTCGTAGATTGAGCAGATCGGAAGATTGCACGCAACACATATTATGTTCATAGACTTGAGTTTGTTTACATTGTGAGAGTTCAGAAATTTCACCGATTTTACTGCATCTACTCTAGCTATCAAATGCAGCTTTTTATAATAGCTAGTGTATGCACGTTTGTCGGCTGTCTGTAGTGTACGTAGTATGGACAAGTACTTTGATTCACTAGACAACGTAGCCAAAGCACGCTATCTCGAGAAAATTGCATGCATTGGGAATCGACACCCGTACGAGAATGGAGCGAGGACCACAACTTGTGCCCATCACGTACTGATTAGGATCTCGTGAATTGACTACCTAGCATTCTAGCTGAGTCCATTTTATACTCTCAAGGACTTTCAGAACCACAAAAGCCTGGATGCCCACGATCGACTGTTCTGCTGTTGGGTTAGTGGTGTATATGGGTGAACAGTGAGAGTCCCATCTACGTTATCCGAGCACGTGTTATGCACTCTCAGTCTCTGATTATACCATCTTTCTATCCGTGCATGGATCACGATGAGATAAATGGGACAGGCATCATGTCAGCACACTGTAATTGTAAAGCCGGGCTTGGTGAATTCTGTTCACATGTTGCCTCGGTGCTATTTTATGTAGAGTATGCTGCACGTGCAAGAGAAATCACCACCCCCACTCAAACAGCTGCCTACTGGATGCCGGCGATATATGTGTATAAGTGTAAATGTGTAGCGGCGTGCGCCGTGCATGCGGTGTACCTGTGTGTTGCAGAGGAGCATTTGACCGGCATTTACAGGTAATTATCGGCAATACTAGGCGAAAGAGAGTAGAGAAACATTAAGACATTGGTAGTAAATACATTTCGTGTTTATTCAGCATTTCTTTTTTATTGAAAATGCTCCAAGCGTCTGTGGTCCGCCTTGTCTCTCGTCCCTTTACCTTGTGTTGTGATCACGCTAGGCAGCCTAAAAAAGCTGTGTGGCTCTCTGATACCGATTGCTGCAGTTGACAACACCGCAGGAGAGCGGCGTTGTGATGGATTTACTTAATAGGCGAATAAAATGAGCAGAGAACAGTGCGTTGCTCAATGTACTTGTACCATGCCTGAGCTGGTTTCTGTAATTGTCATGGCCGGCGGCGTTGCATTGTGGGTAATATGAAAAATCGAAAGAAAGAGAAAAAGAAGGAGGTGAGGGAGAGAGAGGTGTGGAGAGAGGGAGAGACAGACAGACAGACAAGACAGACATGCACGTGCACATGCACACACACTATGTACATGTATATAAACTAGTGTACATACTATACAATATATATTACTATGTGTGTGTGTGTGCGTGCGTTTGTGCGTGCGTGCGTGTGTGCGCGCGCGTGCGTGTGTGTGCGCGCGCGCGCGTGCGTGTGTGTGCGCGCGCGCGCGTGTGTGTGCACGCACGCACACGAACACACAGGCACAGAGAGGGGAGCATCGAGGTTCTCTACCTATTTTCCTTCGGGGATGTCTGAGAGAGAAACGATCATAGTCATACAACTAACTGCGTGCAATGGGCATCCACAGGTGATGCACTAAAAGAAAACCAGGAACCAACTGGAGTTCAAGGTAAAAGGAACAACTGCCCACAAAAGAAAGCTCCACTTGCATGTACTGGCCTGACTAGCAATATTATTAAATGTGGGATGGAGCCTCAAATCGATGTGCACAAGATGAGTGAGCTGATGACAAGTCTGAATCTAAAACCGAAATCATGTGAGGTATACGTGAATTGAATTCGTTATATGATGTAAATGTAATTAATCATCAAATTTTTATAATTTTCAACAATTGTCATGCATTTGGATGTTTAGTAATGCTTGTATGGTACTTCACATCTAGAAAAAAAAATTATAGAGCAGAGGAGATAGTTATGCTTAGGTTTTGAGGTGCTAACTTCACTGTTTGAATTCAATGTGTATAAATCATTTGTGCTTCATAACCAGTATATATTAATTACTTGTCTACATACCATGGGAATGTATATATATTAAGAATTAATCACTTAAATATTGTAAACACTTAGGAATTTCAAGACCCATTTAACCAGCCTAAAGATGATCTACCAGACAAGTTTATTGCTTTAGAAGCTGTCCTTGACAAGTGGGAGACCTGTAAAGAGGAGATTGGATTTGACCCAGGTCAGTCAAAAGAAAATAATTTGGCAATTTAGGAAAATTTTACCTTCCTTGACAATCTTAGAATTTCACAGCGGTGCATGCAACGTCAAAAAGAGTGATTTTGCTAGAAGCACAATTCAACCAAATTTAATAAATGATCATATTCAACAATGTGGGTGATTCATGTTATATTAATTTGATGCAGATGCAGTGAATTCCTTTTCATCCTCCACATCAGACACAGACAGTGAAGACGATGAGGATAATGAGGAAGAAGGTAGGAAAGCCGAGAATAAGTCTTGGCACATTTCTGGGATATGGCAGCTGCGTTTGATGATTTTCTAGGTTTAGTATTTTAGCTGTTGCAAAATGTAAAACGTGATAACGTTATATATGTTTTATTAATAATAACTACATTTTTATTTATTGAAGTTACAGCCTTGCTAACGACCATGGTAGTTATGGTTCCTGATATTGTTATTCTTTATTCAAGAAGAGGTAGCATCTGAACTAGACAGACACAGTGATGAGGATGATGATGATGATGCTGAAGAAGAAGGAGAAGAAACAGAAGAAGAAGACGATGAAGAGGAAGAAGAAGATCATGAAATCAAGAACAACCGCGCACAGTTTTTAGCGCTGACATCCTTTTTTGATCAAATCAAAGGTTTGCCAACCAGTTGCAAGCTTTATAAATGGAAGGGAGTTGTAATAGATGTGTAATGCAACTGTTTTATAATAGTATCCATCAACCAAATTCCTTTTATTTACAATAGTTACAATCTTATATACACACCATAATACAAGCGTGCCACAGTGGGTAAAACAGTTTTCGGAATAACTAGTAGTAGAATGGAAAAACACTCATTTGTGTAATGTGCTATGTGCATTTAAACATTTAGGTTTGAATTAAATATATTATATGGTGTCACATTTGATTGTATCATCTGTTTTTCCTAGATTATAACATCACTGGTTGGCCAGCTGCGAATGTTATTGAGCTGGTGATTGGACTGAACATCATGGAAACATGTGATGAATCAATCACAACAATAGGTAAATGCGGAAGGGGTTTAAATTTACTGTAGGTTGAAATTTGACATTGCTTTGTTATCTGTTCATGTAATACACGTTTTACATCTGACAAGAAAAATATACAAGTTTTATTGAATCGAGGAAATAAATTCCTCATCATATTGTGCTTAAAAAAGGAAGCTATTGATTTCTGTTCCAGTGCTGCACAATATTCTCAATCAGTGGAAACCTTCATCACTCCTGTGGGCTGAATTCTTGGTCGGTCTGACTGAAGATATTGGCGATGATTCTGAATCCCTGGCGTATGCCATCACCATGTGGCTGGGTGCATATGAAGGTAAGTCTACGTGAGAACGAATCTTATAATCTTTATACAGCTTTTAACTGGATTGGGTACATTTTTTGGATCAAATGTACTTGAATACACGAATACCGTAGTCCTCAGTCAGAATAATTCATTTATTGCACTTAGTGTAAGTGCTCATAAGCAAAAACGTATGAGCTGGCATGCATGAGTGCACATAAATCTAATGGCACAGGTGAGATGGTGGGGATGTAACCTTGTTTATGCGCCATGTATATATATATACGCAGCATTCGGCCACCTGCACAGGTAGAGAGACCTGGCCCATATGCAAGCAGAGTGAGCTGTGATTGGATGACAATATTCTACCAGAATTTAGAATGCCGCCGTAGCAAATTTGTGAACAACGACAATCGCGTATATGTAATGCTAGACGCACACTATAAGATTTTGCTTGGGCCGCAGTCGTAAGCCCTCGCACACCATACGCTCGGCAGCCGATCGATCGGGAGGCCCCCGCACACTGTACGACTTAAAGTCGGCGCTAACCATGGCGCTCTCGTGGCGTTCCAAGCGGATTTAGCGTGTACTAAGGGTCGGGAGTGTTTCCCCGCCATTTTGACTGAATGTGGTTTCCATGGCGCTGCTCTGTGATTGGTTAATTTTCTTCAGCGCTCGGCGGCAGGTCGGATGGCCACGCACACTATCCGAGTCGCGTCGTATACCCTCGCACACTATACGACTCGCTCCGCTCCCGATTCAAAATTCGAATCGGCCCAAAATGACCTCCCGATCGTGTCAAACCAGTCGATAGCCAGACGCAAGGCCTCTCGATCCAGACGTAAGCCTCTCGATCCCGCTCGGGTCGTATAGTGTGCGGCTAGCATTAGAGACGCTACAGTTTCAAATGGATTTGATATCTTTTTCTGCTCGTTATACTTACTGTTGACGTGTTGACTGTTGTAGATGGAGAGGTTCATCTGTATTTTGGCGGTTTACTCGCTGGACTCATTCAGTTGGACGGAAACCAGCAGAGGGCGCTGGCAGAGTGTGAAGCAGTGCTGACGGTCTTGCCGGATGTTCTTCCCTTTGTAAACTTGGAGTTGTCAGTAGAGGGTGCTATCGTGGGAATGCTGAGAGTAATGGCACACAAAGAGGTTGATTTCCACAATTTGTTCTACATTTGTATTTAATTAAATTTCTCTGTGGCGTGATGGTCCTACATAATATATAGTCAACTTCACCTATACATATATTACCAGGAGTGATTGAAAATACATTTAGTTTTTGTTCACTCTAGTTATTACCATCACTATCTGTATACTCAAGTATAAGAACTCGTGCACGTTGAAATTGGATACATGGGAGTTATAATTATTCATATGTTCTGTGCTCTCATCACATTTACATAGAACAATACATTACAATCTCTTTGCTGTAGAATATGCTCACAGATGTACTGATAATATGCATTTCTGCATGTTGTAACTTGTATATATCGACTTGTGTGGGTTAACTAACTTTAACAGCATATGCATTTATTTTCCAGAAACGTTTTCATAGCTTAACTGTATTGTGATGACTTTTCTAGCCAATTCCCTGTACGTCTGAAGTATTGAAATATTGCAAAGTAAAACCTTTATTTACCTTTATTTAAATACCTAGGACTACAAAGTATTTCTTTATTTGTCAGTAATTGGGGAATACACAACTTTACAACAAATACAGTGAAATGCAATGAAGCTTAAAAAGAGAATATTGTAGACCTGTTCTTGTCTAGGCTGCAATTAAAATAAATGGCTTGAAGCCATCATTCCCTTCTTTGAACCACACTAACTGGAGTTGGTAAACACTTCATTTCAATGCTGCAGGTAGCAGAGTTTCTGCGACAGTGTTGGTTGAAAGAGTCGAAGGATATGAGTGATTGGATGGACTGCTTCTGTGACACTGAGGACTGCCAGTGCATAAACGTGGACTGGGATGAAGCAGTAGTCTCCTTCCGAGGTGACGTATTCGTAAACAAAGTTAATGGTGGTTTATGCAGTATTTCAAATACGAAAAATGTTTGGGAACAACTGGGAAATCATCATCAGAAGTAATGTAATTTCATGTTCTAAATAATTATGCTGAAATATTCACTACACTTATACAGACATCTTTTACTAGACGATGCCCAGTGATCCAATTTATACCAAATGTATGTTGGTAATTGTCATAAAATACGTCATAGTGTCTTGTTCCATGACACACACCATCCAACCTCAATCCAACTCGCCAATTAACTATGATCTAAATGTGACAGAATTGGTCTAAATATACACCACACAAGCTGTCCATGAGCTAGCAATATATCATTAAGTTTGTTATCTTGTATTGTTTGTATTCAACACACACTTTTCAATACGCACTTTTCAGCTTGTCAGTTGCCACTTGTATATGCAAGAAGCAACTCTGTTATAAAAAAAAAATGTAGTTGTCCATCTATCTAATATGTCTAATCTGGAGGAAATAAAATAAAATAAATATTAACAAGCTTGCATATCACATAACTTTTAACTTCTCTTCTGTAACAGTCTTTTAATAAGAAAATACAACTGTCAACATTTCACTCGGTACGACAATTTGTAATTAATTTTCCACATAAAGTATGGAAAATAATGTATAAAATAAAAGACAATAATAATGTGTAATGTAAAATATAACATAAAATGTAGTAATGCATGAAATCTTTGTGTCAACTTCCAGTTATTTGGGACATGATTGAGCAGTACGATGTGTGGGATGAACAGAAGAGGGTGGAGTTCTTCCAGGAGGCAACTGCTGGGCTGTGGTCACGCGACATACTCATGGTTGTTGCGGAGATGCTGTTTTTTGACGATAAGCTAAAAGTGCTGGACGGCTGCAAGTACCGGGAGACGGATGGTAAGCGTGGATGTAAGGCTGCCGAGCACATTGTTGTACTTGCTGCAAATAATTGCGAGCTATAAATGGCTGAGATGTCGTCATGTTTGTCACGGGTTGTATTCTCATCTGTTCATGCAGCTGGATAAAGCTTGACTGTATGGCAGAGATAATATTAACGGTATGTATTATATCATGTACTTACATGCATGTCATTTTATTTTGAATGCCACGAAGATCAACAGCAGACAGTTGTAAAGGAATAGCTATATGTTAATTGTCTCCAAGTTTTGTCAGTCATTTCCTATACTTTGCATCACTGGTTATAAATATTAAACGTTAGATTCGGTACAATATTTTCTGGGTTTTGACTTATTTGACTTATTATTATATCATAATTGCGCAATCAATTCATGGTTTATCGAACCGATGTTTGAAAATAAAAGTTGGACCCAATCCCAGCACTATACGCATGCACCCACGCACACATTCTTTATTTCTTTTACAGCTGAAGGCTGTGCTCATGGCTCAGATGCTGAACAACGTGCCAACACGAAAATGACTCCTAAAAAATGTCTCGGAGAGGTAAGCCTTAACACAGCACTTGAATAAAAATCAAAGTTTAATCAAACCTAGTATGAAGTGTAAACTGTGGTAACCCTATGCACAGATCGAGGGACCATTCACAATTATCAAACATCACAAGCATACAGACCATACATTTTTCAGATTTGGTGTGAAGGTATGAATCCCATTACCCAGGGTTCGACACTAACGCTAGTCCGTTAGTCCGAGACTAGTAAAAAATCAGAAGGACTAGTAGATTCCCATAGCAGTTAGTCCGGCGGGACTAGTTATATTTTCCACGTCCCTCACCGTCCCAATTTCCCATCGATTTTACCGGCGGCAGCGTCTCTCATCCAAGATCCAAGGAGCTATATATAACTCGTCCACATTAACAAGTTTTCCCTGTTAGACGCGCTAGTCCAAGTAGAGTAGACGCTAGCACGCTCTAAGCATGCTGCTAGACCCTACGGCAGTACAAACATTGTTAAACAATGGACCCACGAACCCAGTCTACCAAGCTTGACAGTAGCTGTTGACATAGAACAAACGGTCTGATTGTAGAAATGACGCAACTAATCAGTTATAGGCTCTCATAGGGAGGTATTTACATCGCAACCACATCGCATGCGTGTGTTACTTGAAGCAGTCCATTCAAATAGTAGTGAAGCTAATAGTAGGTACATCCTTATCCATTTACTGCCATCATTTCATGGTATATCAAGTCCCATTGAGCAACGTACTGCTTCTGCTTGGCATGCCCGATGATTCCGTCACTGCATTTAGATGATAGGTTTATACTTTGTTCAAGCTTCTGGTCACCACCGACTGCAGTGAAGCGGCCGGGGTTCTCCTTGATGGAAAAGTTCCCATTTGAGAAGTTCACATGCACTGATGGTGCAGTTTGAGGTAAACGCCGCATGTCTTTCAGGTAGACAGAGCACCAGCAAAGATAGTTGGTCGAGTCAAAGGCAGTGAATAGGTATAGAGCACGTTGGACGGCATCAAGATGAAGTTCCCATATCCCCTCACGATCTGCTCTCAACAGATCATGCACCACAGCCATCATGCGGGGAAACTGAGCCCAGAATCTGAAGTTCTCATTCACAGCAGACCCTGTTGCGATGAACGTATTCAGATCTTCGAATAACTTCGTGGATGCAGTTGCAGTAAGACTGGCCATCAACTTCTGACTGTCAGTGACGTTCTTCTTCGTAACACTTGATTTGAGATCAGTCAGGATAGCAAGCTCTTGTGAATATCGCTCAACACCTCTCTCGGCAAATAATTCTTTGAGTAGACGCTGGAACGTTTGAGCAAGGAGTTGCATGCCTTGAAGACAGCGGCTGTAGTGTCCTCCCTTGAGAACTGAGTTCTGAATAATGGCTGGACCAAAGACACCGGCCTGTAGCCAGGTCATGTCGGCTCCACTTCCACCGAGGGCTTTTCCAATGCACTTCAAAACAGTTTTCACCAAGTGAAATGTCCCCAAGCATGGGACTAGAGTGCTGAATTCCTGCGGTCTCATCAATTGAATTGCCTTGACGATACAGTATACTCCTTCGTCACAATACATTGGGATTTCTGTTTGAACCAGCTGTGAGCCAATGGACATGAAATTCCTCATCGCAGAATAAACGGTTGCATACTCAGTAACAGGATAGGGCAGGACAGCCAAGAATGCAAGGTTCTTTTCTGGGATGTTCTCCTCTGTCCATACAGCGTTGCTTGCACTCCAAGAAGGCATTGTTTGTGATGGAGGATAGATGGAGACCTGATTTTGGGTGACATCTACGCGGGCAAGAGACCAGATAGTATCTTTCAGTTTAGCTGCATCAGCATTTACAGATAAATAGACAGCCACGCTCATCACGATCGCCCCACGCTCCAAAAATTTGCCCGAGCGTGGTTGAGAGCGTGGCCAATTGGGCCCCAGCCGGGCCCAGCGCCGATACTATGATCTAATTACGTCGATACTACGATCTAAGTGCGTCTTTACCCCGATCTCATTGCGCTCAACAAGCTTTCACCACGCTCAACACCACGCTGCATCACGCTTGCACTGCGCTCACTGCGTATTTATTGCGACCAATCAGATCGCATTGTGTTCGAACGACGCTTGCACTGCGCCTAAGCAACGCTCACCGCGCCTCAACTGCGTGCCAGTCACGCTCCTAGTGCGACTTAATCATGCTCTAGGCAGGCGCCGACTGCGCTGGCAACGACCATATAAATACCGCGCCGCGTTCTAGATATCATCATTCGTTCTGCTGTGCTGTTCACATCAAGATTATTTTCTACTGATTTTATACCCATAATAGCTAGTATAATAGTATGCTACAACTATGTCACCAAAAGACTTCTATTTCTCCTCCTCATCCTCCTCAGCATGATGAGGGCTTGGCAATCAAGTAATTCGAGTTGTCCTTCTACGAGAAACATGGCATGGAGTAGTGTTGCCTCATCCATAGTGGACACTGAACTGGTGGGGTGGCCAGGGTAGCACCCCAAGTTATACCCCAAGTTCACAGGACGTGATCTGAGCGTAACTAACACATAATGCGAACGCCACAACGGCGTGGTCTGAGCGTGTTGGGCGTAGTACAATCGTAGTACGAACGGGTCGAGCTTGCTAGAGACGCACCATGGTCATAGCGAGAGCGTGGTCAGGTAGCAGAGACATCTCCATGGACGTAGTAACAGCGTGATGAAAACGTATTGACATCGTGCTGAGAACGGGGTGACAATTTTCACGCACCCGACACGCTTGCGATACGATCATTAAGTTCGTACTACGCTCGAGTTACGTGGGTAATACACCTTCCACGTCTCTAATACGCCCGTACTGCGCTGTCTTTCCGCCACGCTCGCACCACGATTGTTTTGAACATGTTCAAAGTTTGGCCACACTCTCCATGTCCATATACGTTCATATACTGCGTTCTCACGTTTCCACCATGCTCTTAGAGCGTAGTACGAGCGTAGTGAGATCGGGTCCCTAGTGTGAATGGGGTATCACTGCAAATATTTCTTTCTGTAAGTAAGATTTCGCAGTCACCATGAAGTGCTGAACATGACCGTCATCGTCACTGGTTGATGCTCAAGTCATTACATACATTGTATAAATCAACAAATTTTCCTAAGTCAACACAAATATGCTGGTCACAAAAGTGTCGACTTATGCAAGTTTTACTGTACTTTCTATTTCATGCAAACAAGTGACAGATCCAGGGGGCAGGAGACACCCCCCCCCCCATTTTTGAACAAACACATACATAGAAGCAAAGATCAATTGTACATGATCTTTGATAGAAGTGAGTGGCCTTGTCGGTCTGTGCCCCCCTTTTTTTTTTTATCAAAACTGGACTCGAACTCGGACTCGAGTGGTGTGGACTCGGACTCGGACTCGGGTGGCGCGGACTCGGACTCGGACTCGGGGGGTGCGGACTCGACTACAACACTGGTTACTATATGGTGTAGTAAGAGTACCAAATTTGGGCATGTGACATCAATTATCAGCACTCCAAGCGGCGACGAAAACCGATAGCCAAAAGGCTTAGGGGCGAGAAGGATGGTGAATAATGTGTATGCGAGGCGCCGTGAGGCCTGTGGGAGGAGAAGTTTTCGAGCCAATATCTCAGCCTAGGAGTATCGTATTGACAAGCGGTTGGTCTTGTTTTAGAGAGCAAAGAATTCTGCTTAATGCAGACAAAGTAGAC